ATGCCATCTCTCTGGCATTTGAAAGCACCCTTGTAACCACACTGAGCCATCCAGAAAATCCAGTATAATCTTATTTTAAGGCCAGCTGATTTGCAAACTCAATTCTATCTGCTAACTTAATTCACCATTATACCTATATCCATATGCATTTTCTGGGGATTAGAACATGAACATCTTTGGAGCGGGGGGCTGTTTTTCTGCCTACCACAGTCACTGATTTATTAGGAACCTAGGTGACTTCTATGCTTGCTCAGAAGAGGCAAATTACACAATATCATGAAAGCATCTGAACATTCATAACACAGAACTAGGAGCTTTATATTTTAATTTTTCTCTTAATACTGATAATAGAGTGCCTGACCACCAAAAGAACTGAGTGAAAGGTAACAAGTAAAAATGGTTCAAGGTCAAAAAGATACTAGACTATCAACAGTGAAACCCCATAATCTCAGTTTCTCAAAAACGCCTCTCCGCCTGCAGCTTGATCTCTCAGTCCACTTTTGCTAAGTAGCCCTGTGCTTCTGTACAAGTGTACTGTCTCCAACGTCAGCATTTCTCCTCGTGCCCTTCCTTCTCCTTACATGTCTATTCTGTCATTGTTATTTTAGACATCCATCGCAGGCAGTTTAACAATCCACCAACCTCTTTCTCCTTTACACAGCTCTCCAGCCCACATATCTACACAATTCTTCTTCCTAAAATTCCTCATAGCTCTTTGTTGTTATCCATCATATCAGAATGTAAGTGTCTAGTGGGAAAGCAGAATGGAAGCATATTTTGTTAAGTGTACTTAATAACATAGTACTCATTAACAAATATTTTTTAAATGAATGAGATTTGTTGTTTCCTTTTATTTTTATTGAGGCAAAATATATGTAATATATTATTTATCTTTTTAGCATATTTGGAAGTGTACAGTGCTGTGTATCCATCACTGCTGTCTATACTCAAGACTTTTTCATTGTTCCCAACATAAAATCTGTACCCAATAAACAATAATTCCCCCTCCCCCTTCCCCACAGCCTCTTATAACCTCCATTCTGTTCTCTGTCTATATGAATTTATTATAGGTACCTCCTGCAAGTGGAATCATACAATATGTGTTCTTCCACATCTGGCTAATTTCACTAAGCATAATGTTTTTGAGTCTCATTCATGTTGTAGATTTGCCACAATTTAATTCTTTGAATGACTAGTATTCCATTGTGTGTATATATATCACATTTCATTTATCCATTGATTTGTTGATGCGCACTTGGGTTATTTTACCTTTTGACTGTTGGTAATAATGCTGCTATGATCATTGTTATATCTACCTGTTCAATTCTTGCTTTTCATTCTTTTTGGAAATACACCTACGAGTGAAATTACCGGGTCCTGTGGTAAGGTAGTGCTATGTTTAACTTTTTCAGAAACTGCCAAACTGCTTTCCACAGTGGTTGCGACATTTTACAAATGAAAACAAAAAATATTTTTCTAACTTATACAGTACATGGATTTTAAACTCAAAACAATTGCTTTGTTGTACTGATTTATAATATTTTTAGAATCAGAAAAATGTGTCATTCAATTTAACCTTTTGCTCTCAAAGAGAATGGATTGCAAAATACGTCTTTTAAAATGTTAACATTTTTATGATTTATTAATATCTGATAATTTCCTAGAATAGGTAAAATAACTAGAAAAAAATACAGAATTAGTAAACTCTGTGATACCTGAATTAATAAAAATATAAAACAGCATAAATACATGTAGCAGTTCTAAACAACAAATAAGCATTTCACAAAACAACCTGATATTTGGATGGGTATCTGAAGAAAGAGATGTTATTCTAAGAAATAGAATTTTATTTAACTTTTATTGCACATTTGTTAATTAATTTCAATAAAAGGAGATATGTATCTTGTTGTACATTCTGTTTTTTTTTTTTCAGTTAGGTCAATTTGCTTCCTTTTCTTTACAAAACGAAAGAGTTATTTTGTTCTACTGATCTAATTTAGAGCACAAGGAGACAGAACTCACATTCAGCAATGTCTCATTGTTCGTATAATTAATTTGAGTTGGACTTGTCATACTTTGCTAGGAAACAATATTTCAATTAAATGATAGTATCTTTTTTAAAGCTGCACTTTCTGACTTAACAAGCATTCGAATATAAAACATAATCTTAAAATTGAAACATTGCTATCTAGACTCTCCAGGAACAAATTATTTAAATACTAGAAATGTAGTTTATGTCAAAAATCATACGGCATTCTTTTTTAGGTATATTAATGAAATTGTTATCTTTTATCTTCAGAGGTCAGTATAAGAAAATTCACTTAAATATGCTTAAGAAGTTTAAATGTTTTGAATTGAGACTGTCGCAGGACTAATTTACTCTAAAACGCCCCCTCCTTTCCATTTTAGAGAGTATGTATACTTACTTTATAAAAAGAGATATTCTTACTGCTTAAAAGTTACTGAAGACTCTTGATGTCAGTACATTCAGAAATTTGCAGCTCTGGTTACTGGTGACTTTCAGCCCCAGGCTTAATCTTGCCCTGGTGCTAAACCAATCCTGACCAGGCCAGGAACCACCTTAGCCCAACTGGAGAGGTGTGAGTTAATCTTCCAATCAGACTGGTACTCAAATCGCTAAGCATTAGCCCTGGGTCTTCATGTATATTCAAGGGTCTTCACATTTTTTTCCCTTTTCCTTTCCAAACTAACTTCAGCAATTAATTGGGATTCCTTGAAAGCACTTCTGTGTCCCGCAATGATTTGCCACTTCTGTCAATTCTCTAAACGTTTTTTTTATTTGTGGTTGATAGAAATGCATAGATGGTAAAGTAGATGAACTGTTATAACCAGTATATGTAGTCCTTTTTAACATGTGGGTCTAGTTCTTCTCAACAGATCCTCTTAGCTTTATAAACAGCAAAGTGAAAATAATCTCTTGAACAGGAAGCCAAAGAGAAGGGCCTCAACTGGTATGCACTATGCCCTGATCTAGCAAGCTCATTGTGTTAGTCTGTTTTTGTGTTCCTATAAAGGAATACCAGAGATTGTGTAATTTATAAAGAAAAGAAATTTAACTGGCTCATGGTTCTGCAGGTGGTAGAGGAAGCACAGTGCCAGCATCTGATCCTGGTCAAGTCCTCAGGAAATGTCCAGTCACGGTGGAAGGCATAGACAGAGCAGGCACCTCATATCATGAGAGCAGGAGCGAGAGAGAGAAAGAGGGATCAAGAAAGACAGCGTGGGCCGGACGCGGTGGCTCACGCCTGTAATCCCAGCACTTTGGGAGGCCGAGGCGGGTGGACCACGAGGTCAAGAGATTGAGACCATCCTGGTCAACATGGTGAAACCCTGTCTCTACTAAAAACACAAAAATTAGCTGGGCATGGTGG